GACACTTATCCAATCAGTAAACACTGAACTTCCTATATTTTGTTTCTTAAAGTCAATATAATTTTAACCCAATACATCTAGATATGTTAGTGCCTCGTACAGCTACTATATACTTCGTACTTCAACTGATTTTGTAATGCAATCTACAATGCCCCCACGGATCAGAGAAAAAGAGAGGAGAATATCATTGGAGCTGGATCCAGCCATCTCTCAGGCAGAATGGCGTCGAAAAATGATTGTCTGCTTACCCAAGTTCTTTGACACAGTCTATTTCTTCTTTCAATCAATCAAACGTTCCGTCATCACAAAAGAGGAGCTCATGCATAAAATAATCGCTGGCCATAAAGCTGTTGTTGACAGAAGTAAGCTTAATCTTTAAGAATGAGAAACTTGAGTCTTTTCTAGTATTGAAATTGAGCTCAATGCCCCTGTTTTACTTTTTGTAGGAGAGATTGAAGAACAACTCAGATTGCTGCAAGAATTAGTTCCGGAATGGATTTATGAAAAGGCAGCATCTAGTGGGGATCTCCTCTTATGGTTAGTCTTACAATTTTTGTTCCTTCCATGAATCATAGTTTACAAGTTCTTCTAGAAAAATTCTACTTATTGTATGATATGATGGTTAATTACGTGTATTAATCATTAAACCTTAAAATTCTACATTTTGGTGTTCTTAAAGGCTATAACCTTTTGCAGCGTTAATAAGATTTCAAGTCCTGAATTGATACGCACGAGACTTGCTGAGGCCGAGTGAGAGAACCAAGAGAATACCAGCGGATATGAAGTGCCATTTTGTAAATATTTATTATTTTCACCATGAGCCACACATATAAAATCAAATGCACTTCCAATTCCTAATTCTGGTTAATTCGATTATATGTAGTTGGATTACAGTATCAATTAGTATCAACCAAAAACTGCACTTCCTTTGTACCTTTACATGGTTCTTATCAACTAAAAGACGCTTTCATTGTTCAAATTCTTGTAGTAATCGCCCAAATTTTATCTTTCATGTCTTTGCAGTCTAGTTCATTATATTCTGATTGGTGTAACCCATGGCCAACTAGAATTAGCATTTACTATAATGCCCACGAAAGGTTTTCTAATGACCAGCATTAAACTTCCAAATTATTGTGTGATATATTATTCCAATTCTTGAAATAATCCACTTATCAGATAGGGTGAAAGTGAGGCAGAGGGTACAACAATCCAAGAGATTTTCAAAACTCGAAAGACTGAAGCTACCAAGTACGAATGCACTCCCTATTCCATGCCGTGGAGGACTACTGTTGACACGCTAAAAGTGTAGCCCATATTAATTAGCCCAAAGAACGAAGCCCAGTTGGGAATCCAAGATAAAAGCCCAAGCAAAGGAACACCGTCGCCCAAGCTTGCAGAACGTCAAGATGTTGAGCAAATAAAGTACCCTATGGACGCCCAGAGCGAAGGAGTAGTCGTCCAAATTGTTGGGTCGCCCAGAATCCTAGTGAGGACTGAACTCTATTGTTATCTAAAATCACGATTTGAGGCGGTTTGAGTACATCACGATTACACCCCACAATTTGAGTGATAAGCGGTTATGAAAAAAATGTGGTAGGAGTTACAAATTAAAGTTATTGGCCAGTTAGCCACTATGAAAGAAATGGGTAGTTACAAACAGAGTCCAAACGGTTAAGAACTGCCCAAGCAGTATAAAAGGAAGAGGAAAGCAATGAAGAAACCCCGACAAAATTCACTCTCAAATAGAGAATATGTAATTTACTTTTTCTTAGATTAACTTTAATTAATTCA